CGTGTTCAGCCGTTATGGCTGCCGAAAGGGGAGCTGGTCCCTTCAGAAGTAGCAAGAAGTGTTACAAGTGTAAAGCTGTGAGAGAGCTCAGTTGTTGTGTGTGTGTGTTTTTGTTTTTGTTTTTGTTTTTGTTTGGTTTTGGTTTTGGTTTTTCGAGACAGTGTTTCTCTGTGTAGCTTTGGAGCCTATCTGGGCACTCACTCTGGAGACCAGGCTGGCCTTGAACTCACAGAGAAAATCCGCCTGCCTCTGCCTCCCGAGTGCTGGGATTAAAGGCGTGCGCCACCAACGCCCAGCTCAGTTGTGGTGGTTTTATGAAGTTCATTCAGAGAGATTAAAGTGGGGCCTCGAGTTTTGGTTTCAGTTCTTTTTTTTTTTTTTTCTTTTTGGTCTTTCAAGACAGGGTTTCTTTGTGTAGCCCTGGATGTCCTGAATTCTCTTTGTAGACCAAGCTGGTCTTGAACGGAAAGAGATCCTCCTGCCTCTGCCTCCCAAGTGCTGAGATTAAAGGTGTGTACCACCACACCCAACTAGTTTCATTCTTTTTGGTAAAGAAAACAGGGCACAAGTTGATTACAGCACTTTCATTGTATATAAGGCTAAAAACAATACTCCTCACAGAAACAAGCCTTTCATTGGCATGTGAGTCAATGAGAACAATTCTGTGACTCCTTACTGTTGACAAACCTGCATTGTTTGTTTTGGCTCAAGATGAAACAATATTTATCAAAGTAGTCCAGAATCGGAAGGAGCGCAAATGGACATCAACAGCAAAGTAAAGATAGCCTAGTGCAATGTGTGGTGGGCACTGTGCAGCGTGTGGGAGTGTGTGTGTGTACACACAGTGTGCAGGGCTGTGCAGAGTGAGGGAGAGTGTGTGTGTCTACACACAGTGTGCAGGGCTGTGCAGTGTGTGGGAGTGTGTGTGTGTGTGTACACACAGTGTGCAGGGCTGTGCAGAGTGAGGGAGAGTGTGTGTGTCTACACACAGTGTGCAGGGCTGTGCAGTGTGTGGGAGTGTGTGTGTGTGTGTACACACAGTGTGCAGGGCTGTGCAGAGTGAGGGAGTGTGTGTGTACACACAGTGTGCAGGGCTGTGCAGAGTGAAGGAGAGTGTGTGTGTGTGTGTACACACAGTGTGCAGGGCTGTGCAGAGCGAGGGAGTGTGTGTGTGTGTGTACACACAGTGTGCAGGGCTGTGCAGAGTGAGGGAGTGTGTGTGTACACACAGTGTGCAGGGCTGTGCAGAGTGAGGGAGTGTGTGTGTACACACAGTGTGCAGGGCTGTGCAGAGTGAGGGAGTGTGTGTGTACACACAGTGTGCAGGGCTGTGCAGAGTGAGGGAGTGTGTGTGTACACACAGTGTGCAGGGCTGTGCAGAGTGAGGGAGTGTGTGTGTACACACAGTGTGCAGGGCTGTGCAGAGTGAGGGAGTGTGTGTGTACACACAGTGTGCAGGGCTGTGCAGAGTGAGGGAGTGTGTGTGTACACACAGTGTGCAGGGCTGTGCAGAGTGAGGGAGTGTGTGTGTACACACAGTGTGCAGGGCTGTGCAGAGTGAGGGAGTGTGTGTGTACACACAGTGTGCAGGGCTGTGCAGAGTGAGGGAGTGTGTGTGTACACACAGTGTGCAGGGCTGTGCAGAGTGAGGGAGTGTGTGTGTACACACAGTGTGCAGGGCTGTGCAGAGTGAGGGAGTGTGTGTGTACACACAGTGTGCAGGGCTGTGCAGAGTGAGGGAGTGTGTGTGTACACACAGTGTGCAGGGCTGTGCAGAGTGAGGGAGTGTGTGTGTACACACAGTGTGCAGGGCTGTGCAGAGTGAGGGAGTGTGTGTGTACACACAGTGTGCAGGGCTGTGCAGAGTGAGGGAGTGTGTGTGTACACACAGTGTGCAGGGCTGTGCAGAGTGAGGGAGTGTGTGTGTGCACACACAGTGTGCAGGGCTGTGCAGAGTGAGGGAGTGTGTGTGCACACACAGTTTGCAGGGCTGTGCAGAGTGAGAGTGTGTGTGTGTGTGTGTACACACAGTTTGCAGGGCTGTGCAGAGTGAGGGAATGTGTGTGTGTACACACAGTGTGCAGGGCTGTGCAGAGTGAGGGAGTGTGACCCTGCTAATCATCGACAGAGTGAAAGAACGCAGAGACAACAGTACCCAGCCACTGACTATTCATATGCTGTTCAAACCTGCACAAAGTGTTAGAAGTCAGAATTGGGGCCTGGGTATGGCAATTTATTGGTTATAATCCTAGTTCTTGGAAGGTGAAAAGAGCAGAAGCTCAGTGTCAGCTTTGGCTACTTAGCAAGTTCAAAACCAGCCTGGGTGATGCCATCCTGCTCAACATCAACAAAGGCAGAGTCGGTTCCCTCTGAGAGGGTAGAAGGTTACCTGATGTAAGATCATTTGGCGTATTGAAGACAGCTTTATTGGGGGGGGGGTAGACAATTGTGGAGTCAGACACGCTACCGTTGTGCTGTGAGGCTGCATGGACATATTGTAAGTTATAAAAATGTCAGGCCAATCAGTGTTTTATTCATAAACCAATAAGAGAAACATAAACACAGAAGAACGTTCCCATCAATTCTCTCATTAGTTCTCTCAATCAACTAGCAAATTAGCTTGTATTTGTGTCTAATTGGCTTGTAATTATGCATGTTGATGACAGTCATTTAATTGGTTTTATTTTTAGGAATTATAAATATGAAAAATGTGAAATTTCTTATAAATGCCAGGTTGTGCATAAGTCCATTGCTATGGAAAAGTTTTCTAAAGTGATTATTCAAAATGAGTTTGTATCAGAGAACACTGTCACCCCAAGTAACCTTCTTGAGTGTTGTTATTGGCTTGTCTGTGGTACTGGGCTTTGGCACCCAGGGCACCATGCATGAATACTCTACCACTGAGCTAGGAGCCTCCCCCTTTTGAAATTTAAAAAGTTTGGGGTGCATGTGCAGGTTAAGATGCCCTTGGAGTCTAAAAGAGGGCGTCTGATCTGAGCTGGAACTGCAGGCACTGGTGAGTTGCCTGGCATGGGTGCTGCAACTGAACCTGGGTCCTCTGTAAGTTCTGTTAACCACTGAGCCATCTCTCCAGCCCCATTGAGTGCATTTTCTGTATTTACAAGCTTGCCTTTTCAACATAATAGGGATTCATTTGTGATAAAGGAGAAACTCAAAATTTGAACAGATAAAAATCATATTCTTGTCAGGCATGGTGACTCACTTATACCTTAAACAGTGCTCAGGAAGCAGAGGCAAGATGATCTGTGAGAGAAAGGCTACCTAGTCTGCATAGTTGAGTTTCAGATTCTGTCAACAACAACAACAACAACAAAAACCCAACAAAAATACAGAAAAAATAGCATTCTTTTTATATAGTCATCAAAATTAGTTAATAAAACATGGCAATGAGCTCAAAACTAGAGTTTTTCTGGCTGGGGAGAGAGAACAGGCAAGAAGTATAGCTGGGGCGATGGGAGAAAGGAGGAGGCAGAGAGAGGCCGTGAAGGGAAGATAGGACATGCCAGGCATTCTCCGGTAAGATAAGACCATATAGAAATACATAGATTAGTAGTCATGGGTTAACAACTAAGAGAGAGCTAGCCAGTAAGAAGCCCTAGTCATCAGCCTACAATTTTATAGTTAATATAGCATCTGTGTTTATTTTGGGCTAATCAGCAGTGAGATCAGGCTAGAAAAAAAAAATCCTGTTACATCTTTCACAGTAGTGGCCAAAGCCATTTTGCTACAGGAAATTTAAAATTCTTTAAAAAAAAAAACTCATTTGTATGTGTCTGTGTATGTGTGTGTGAGCATACATACGTGTGTATTCAGGTATGTACTTATGTGACATATGTTGCCTTGTTGTACACAGCTTCAGGAAGAAGGTGTGAGGTGTGATCCTCTGTGTCTTGCTGTCTGTTCTTTTGAGGCAGGGTCTCTCCCTGAAACTGCTATTCTCTCAGCTAGACTGGAACCTCCTGTCCCTGCCCTCCTCAGAGCTGGGTTACAGGCATGTTTGAGACCTGTTTTTTGTGCCCTGGGATCTGAACTCAGATCCTCACGATTGAGTAGTAAACACTCATAACTGCTGGGCCATCTCACCAGCCCTAAAGGAGATTTTTTTCCCCTTTTATTGAAAATAGATTTTTTTTCTCACATAATATATCCTGATTATAGTTTCCCCTCCCTCCTCTTCTCCCAGCTTCTTTCCACCTCCCCTCCTATCCTGACCCACCCCTTTCTGTCTCATTAGCATACAAACCAAGCTTCTAAGGGATTATAATATGGTGATATAACAAAAACTAACACATTGGAATAAGACAAAACAAACAAACAGAAGGAAAAGAGCCCGAGAAATGGCACAAGAAACAGATATATATATATATACAGAGGTGCATTCATTTGCACACTCATGAATCTCATAATATATACCAAAGAACCTGTAGAGTAAAACAAGAGAAAAATATGTAAATAAGATAAAAATAAAAAGTTAAATCAAGCTGGGCATGTTGGTAAACATCTGTAATCCCAGTCCTCAGGAGGCAGAGGCAGGTGAATCCCTGAGTTCAAGGCCTACAATGGTCTACAATGGAAGTTTCCAGGACAGCCAGAGCCACGCAGAGAAACTCTGTCTCAAAAAACTAAAACAAAACAAAACAAAAAATCCCTGACAAAACATTATGAGACAAGGAATCTCCAAAGGTACTGTTGAGTTTGTCGTCTGTGAGCTGTCTATTGCTGGGCATGCAGCCTACCCCTACGAGTAAATTGTTTCTGCAGTGAGACTGTAGGGCAGACTTCATTACTACATCACTATTGCTGCTTGTTCTGGATCTTTTTAAATTAAATTTATTTCATGTTAATTTAATTTTGATTGGTAATATGCATATAAAAATCCATCCCTGTTTTTAGCTTTTCCAGTTTAGTGGGTATGCTTTATGGACGTACTAGTGATTTTCTGAATTTTATTTGCATCTGTTATACAGCTCCCTCTCAACACCCTCTGTTGGTGAGACTTTGTGGAGGTTTTGATTTGACTGCTCTGCTCTTCATTTCCAATATTTCAGTTTGGGGTTTCTTCAGTATTTATGTCTTACGGAATCTCTCTCTCATGTCATGTGTCTCTGTCTTCATTGTATTCACCTGTTTGTGTTCTCTTGGTTTTTTTTTCAGGAGTTTCTTTTATTCTTTAAGTTCTTTGAAAATACTTATCCTTCTTTTAAGTTATTTGAGGTGGGGGGGGAGTGATTTCATCCAGTTCACTTTAACTGGATGTCATTACTATAGAGTAATCATTTTTGAAGGAATTAATGTGCCTTGGTTTTCATGTTATTTGTGCATTATGTTGGACCCGGACATCTGGAGATAGATTGTTGGTTGAATTTATTTCTTGTCTAACTCAGCCTTATTGTTTCAGAGTGGGTGTTTATGTATTATGAATATCTCTTCACAGTCATCAGTGTGAAGGGTAGCAAGTTGCTGTTATCACCTGGTAGAACCAGGGGTGGTGGTGGTTACCTCACTTATGGAAGGTTCAGGCAGTGGTTGCCAGTGTGTTGGGTAGGAGTGAGGCTTCCTGGACATGCTGAACTCACCAGGACAACAGGCAAGGCTAGAACCTCCCTAGCATGCTGTGTCCAATGGGGTAGCAGTCAAGGCCGAGGTCTTCCCAGGCACACTTTGCTCATCAGGTATGATGTCATTTTTATACAAACCAGTAGCTCTATTTTCTGGTAAATGATCATGAACTGACAGGATATTGCTAATATGATATTTGTTTTGTTTAGAAAACAGGCAGTGTTTCTTATAACCTCTTTTCTGAATAGTATCTGAACAAGATTTATTATGTTTTCCCTATGTCATTAAAATGGATAACTTGAGGTTGAATGTTGTTACAGGGAACAGTGACATTCAAAGATGTGGCTATTGATTTCACCCCTGAAGAATGGAAGCAATTGGATCCTATTCAGAGGAACCTATATCGGAATGTGATGCTAGAGAATTATAACAACTTAATCACAGTGGGTAAGACAGTGTCCTTTTTCTAAAACAGATGGAGCTTTGAAATGTTAGTAGGTTTTGCCTTGGGATGCCTTTGTTATGGTCCTGTCCAGGCTGCAGCTTCAAAGCAAAACCTTTGGTGATATTTCAGGGTACACCTTCCTAGAAGTTAGAATATCTGGCTCCCCCAGGCCTATCCCAGTTCCTGGGTTGTTTTTCATTACTGGTGTCTATACCCAAATCCATGTCATTTCCTTCTGACAGGCTCTCCACTTACCAAACCTGATGTGATTTTCAAGTTGGAACAAGAGGAAGAGCCATGTATTGTGGAGAAAGAAATGGTAAAGAGACACAGTCCAGGTTAGTGGGAGGGAACCAGACAAGTGAGGAGAGAGGAACAATAAATGGTTCATCTATCCGACATATTTCCCAAGGTATTCTCCGAAAGCAAGTAGACTTGTGTAGTAACAGCTGTGTGAACTCTTTTTAAAACAAAGGTGTCATTTTCCTTTAAATTTTTTTTAATTACATCGTGTGTGTGTGTGTGTGTGTGTGTGTGTGTGTGTGTGTGTTGTTTTTGAGTGTGTGCATGTACATGTGTGTGTAAAGACATACATGTGAAGGCCAGAGGATAACCATATTCTGAGGTACTGGGAGTTAGGACTATATTATATCTTTTTGGCAGCACACAATTGAACTCATAACTTCTTTTCTGTCATTGTTATTGTTGCATTGGTTGGGACAGGTCTCATATAGCCCAAGCAAGCATTGAACTTGCGATGTAGCTGAGACTGGCCTTGAAAGACTAACCCTTCTATCCCCACCTCCCAAGGGCTGAACTTATAGCCATAGTTTGCAATGCTTTGCCATTCTAGATTCATTTTGAATTTTCTTACAGTGTTTGGATATTTCCTACTATTTTTTACTTAGTCTTTTTCAAATTTCATAAGTATAGTTTCCTTTCTTATTACATCTCCTAAATAGTTATTTATGTATATAGGAAAGTAATTCAAATTACTATTACTTTCTTCCACATAAAACAAAGGTGATTGAATTCTAGATATCTGCTTCTACTCATAGTTCCTTTCCTGAAATTTCCTTCTAAAAGCTGAGACTAGCAGAGATATAAGTGGGGCTGGAGAGATGGCTCAGCAGTTAGGAGCACTGGCTGCCCCTCGGGAGGACTCAGGGTCCCTTCCCAGCACCCACACAGCAGCTCACAGCTGTCTGTAACTCCATTCCACAACATATATACACCGCACTTAAACATGCATGCATGCAGGCAAAGCACCCATATTCATAAAATGAAAATAATCTTAAGATTAATTTTAAATGGGAGATAAGCACTTGAGACGTGTTTAATTGTGGGATTGGTTTTTTCAAGTGCACTTGGTGTTTCGATATTGGAAAAGAAATCACCAGTGACATTTATTTCTTATCTCTTTTAGGTGAAATTTGGGGAAGTGAAGAGCACCAGAAAACCCAGAACAAACTCTTGAGACAAGTTTTCAAGGAAACAGCGGCTGATGAAGCCAATGAATGTCCTAAGAAATTTGCAAATCCATTTCCTCTGACTGCCGATTCCATTCCTTCCAGACACAATCGCTACGATCATGACTGCTTTGGAAAGTGTTTAGAAAATAATCTTGATGATCATAATAATGTAAAATGCTCAATGACAGAGGAACATTTTGAATATGACGATGATATGAAATCGTTTAATAATAGGTCTCCCTATTTTGTAGTGACCCCCTTTAAGTGTAATCACTGTGGAAAAGGCTTTAGTCAAACCCTGGACCTTATCAGACACCTGAGAATTCATACTGGTGGGAAACTCTATGAATGCCACCAATGTGGAAAAGGTTTTAGCCTCAAGGAAAAGCTTATTAATCATCATAAACTTCATAGTAGGGAACAGTGTTATGAGTGTAATGAATGTGGGAAAACTTTCATTAAAATGTCAAATCTCATTAGACATCAACGAATTCATACTGGAGAGAAACCGTATGCATGCAAGGAGTGTGGGAAATCCTTCAGCCAGAAATCTAATCTCATTGATCATGAAAAAATTCATAGTGGTGAGAAACCTTACGAGTGCAATGAGTGTGGAAAATCCTTCAGCCAAAAACAAAGCCTCGTTGCACATCAAAAAGTTCACACTGGGGAGAAACCTTATGCATGTAATGAATGTGGCAAAGCCTTCCCTCGAATTGCTTCCCTTGCTCTTCACATGAGAAGTCACACAGGAGAAAAACCTTATAAATGTGATAAATGTGGAAAATCCTTTTCTCAGTTTTCCATGCTAATTATTCACGTGAGAGTCCACACAGGCGAGAAACCCTACGAATGCAACGAGTGTGGGAAAGCCTTCTCTCAGAGCTCAGCACTAACTGTACATATTAGAAGTCACACGGGTGAGAAGCCCTATGAATGTAAGGAATGCAGGAAATCCTTCAGCCACAAGAAAAACTTCATTACACATCAGAAAATCCACACCAGAGAGAAACCGTATGGCTGTAACGAGTGTGGGAAAGCCTTCATTCAGATGTCAAATCTTGTCAGGCATCAGAGAATTCATACTGGAGAAAAACCTTACATATGTAAGGAATGTGGCAAAGCTTTTAGCCAGAAATCAAATCTCATTGCTCATGAAAAAATTCATTCTGGGGAGAAACCCTATGAGTGTAATGAGTGTGGAAAAGCCTTCAGCCAGAAACAAAACTTTATTACCCACCAGAAAGTTCACACCGGAGAGAAACCTTACGATTGTAACAAATGTGGCAAAGCCTTCTCTCAGATTGCGTCCCTGACTCTCCACTTGAGAAGTCACACAGGAGAAAAACCTTATGAATGTGACAAGTGTGGGAAAGCCTTCTCTCAGTGCTCGTTACTCAATTTACATATGCGAAGTCACACAGGCGAGAAGCCGTACGTCTGTAATGAATGTGGGAAAGCCTTCTCTCAAAGAACTTCCCTGATCGTGCACATGAGAGGCCACACTGGTGAGAAACCCTATGAATGTAATAAATGTGGGAAAGCCTTCTCCCAGAGCTCATCCCTTACTATACACATCCGCGGGCACACAGGCGAGAAACCCTTCGACTGCAGCAAATGTGGAAAAGCCTTCTCTCAGATCTCATCTCTTACTCTTCATATGAGGAAGCACACAGGAGAAAAGCCCTATAACTGCATTGAGTGTGGCAAGGCTTTCAGCCAAAAGTCACACCTCGTAAGACACCAGAGAATCCACACTCACTAGGAACTCCGGAACGCTGTGAATGTGGGGACTGCCTTCCAGTGAAATGAACACCTCGTAGCACTCTACACCATCGATTCTATAGCAGGAAACTATGAATAGAGGAAAGCCTTGTGAAGAACCCACACATTTATTAGAGAATTCTCAGTGAGATGACCAATTGTAGGACAAAACTGAGAAACTGTGAACAAACCAATCGATGT